AGGACCCAACGATGTCCGCATCACCAAGTCAGTGGCATAACAGGTATCTCATGTGGGAAATGCTGTACCGCTAACTGTTTGCATGCTGAAATAGCCTATCCTGAACACTACTAGAATGAGCTAATCCAAAAATGGCAAAACGAGTGGAAAACCTCTCTGCTCATGGAAAGGAAACAACCTTCTCAAAGCATGGGGGAAAACTCTTATAACTTACAAAATTATAAGGTTCTATAAAAGCAGTTCGTGGACTGTTAGGCTTAATTTAATGTCCTTATGTTTTTACTTGAACTGGACTCGCTTACTTTGAGTGGATTATTGTTAGGCTTGCTTTAATTTGGATTGGACTTTCTTCAGTTGAGTGGATTATTATTAGGTTTGTTTTAATGTGTCGTGCATATGCTTAATTTGGAATCAACGGATGCATGATAACTTGGTTTTCTAAATTGAGAAAGATGCATTTGATGCAATTGAAAATGATGTCATTATACGGCGTTTTCAAATTATGAAAGCCATATAGAACAATTGTAAAAATTGTAATAGTTAACTTTGTAGCATGGTACTTCATTTACAACCCATCATCCTCAGTATATAGGACCCCTTGGACATCCATTAGGCATTCCATACTATATTTCCATTGAAAATTGCATAAAAACTCTTGCAAATCACTTCCAAATTCATTCGAAACCATTTTCTTCTTTGTAGAGAGAAACTCCGTCGAAAGTTCGCCGTAACTTGTGGTTTGAAATGCTTCTACCACAAATTGAATCCGTTGTATCTTGGGGGACAAGTGCCGTGAACCGTGAGCACCATTGCGGGGCAACTTTATCTTGAGAAAAGAGTGAAAATCACTTGCCTCAGATTCTTCTTCTTCCTCTTGCCTTCTTGGTTTTAAAAATGGTTTTCGTTTGTAGTTTACACACTAAATTTCCAACCCCATATTTATAGTGTTTAATCACGCTTATGTGGATTAAACTTTGCTTTCTTTTCATTTGTTCGATATATATATTTAGCCCGCGTCGCCAACAAGTAATTGGTGGCATGTTTAAGACAATATTATTTTTAAGAAAATTATATGAATATGAATATTAAAAATGAAATGGTCCTAGCACTTCCAAAACAGCAACCATCATATTCTATGATCTAGGTATGTTTAATTATGCAAAAGTTGCCCCGGGGCATATCCAAGATGGCAAAGACAGTGCAA